TTCTTACATTTAAGGTTCGCAACAAAATAATTACCCAGTCGCAGGAAAATAGATAAGGTGGATAAATAGAACCTTCAAAACAACAGATGACAATGAGTATACTAAAGAGGTGATAACGAAAAGGTCTATATTTATTGAGGTAACCGGCTTATAGAGAACTTGTTTAATGAGAACAATATGCGAATGTTACATCATGTATACCTCTGTAAATAAACATTCTTCTATTTTCTTTATGTGAAAGTAAAATCATGCACCTCTGTAAATATACGTTCTTAAATTTTCTTAAATTTATTTTATCCATACTTCTCGGTTCTTGCTAAAATTTCATAGCTCAGTAAGTATACAGGGACTAAGACTCTTCATCACCCCCCGTTTCTACAAACGGGAACCATCTCACCTCTGGCATTGTTCAAGTGACTACTTGACAAGTTTCTCAAGCCAGTTGCTGATAGGCCGAGCTGAGATGCCAACGCTGAACTGCACCACCACCACCAGCCTGATCGACCAGGCTGTCAACCAGGAGGCCTGGTCTGTCAACCAGGAGACCTGGTCTGTCAACCAGGAGGCCTGATCTGTCAATCAGCAGGCCTGGTCAGGGACCAGACCGCACAAGTAGCGAAGCCTCCGGAACTGTCCATTGGTAAACTACAAGCTAAGGGTACGCTGGCACCCATGATCAGTATCCCTGTATTCCCAGTATCCTTCCATCCCTACCCAACATATTTCACCCCTCCCCAAGCATCCTTCCACCTCCCAGCATCCTTTCATCCCTCCCCAACATTCTTTCATCCCTCCCCAGCATCTTTTCAGCCCTCCCACAGCATCCTTTCATCCTTCTTCCAGCATCCTTCCATCTCTTCCCCGCATTCTTTCTACGGATGGTATCTAGGGATGGAATGAAAGGATGCTAGGAAATGATAAATAAATGCTGGGGGATGGAATATGCTAGGGAAGGGTGGAATGATGCTGGGTAAGGGATGAAAGAATGCTGGGGAAGTCATGGAAGGATGCTGTAAGAGGTTACAGCATCCTTCCATCCCTCCCCAGCATCTTCCATCCCTCTCCAGCATCTTTCAATTCTCCTCAGCATCCTTCCGGCCCTCCCCAGCATCCTTCTGTCCCTCCCCAGGATCTTCCATTCTCCAGTATCCTTTTATCCCTCCCCAGCATCCTTTCATCCATCGTCCAGGTATCCCAGGGGACTCATCTTGAGCACCGTACAGAGCGTGGTGTTGTCAGTCCTCTGCTCTCTCAAGACCGAACCGTGACAATAATGGTTATGAACAGATTACCTCGTCCAGAAGGCAGGGATGGAGGGAGAGAGGAAGGAAAGGAGGGAGAGAGAGGGAGGGATAGAGAGAGAGTGGGAGGAAAGAAAGGTAGGGGCAGAGAGAGAGAGACAGTATCACAGAAGGTAAGGAAGGTACTGTGTACTTCGAATTCGCACAGATCCTCTTCAGCAGACTGCCTTCATGATGCTGAGGCTGCCTTCATGATGTTGCGGCTGCCTTCATGATGTTGCGGCTGCCTTCATGATGTTGAGGCTGCCTTCATGATGCTGAAACTGCCTTCATGATGTTGCGGCTGCCTTCATGATGTTGAGGCTGCCTTCATGATGCTGAAACTGCCTTCATGATGTTGAAGCTGCCTTCATGATGTTGAGGTTGCCTTCATGATGTTGAAGCTGCCTTCATGATGTTGAAGCTGCCTTCATGATGTTGAAGCTGCCTTCATGATGTTGAAGCTGCCTTCATGATGTTGAGGTTGCCTTCATGATGTTGAAGCTGCCTTCATGATGCTGAGGCTGCCTTCATGATGCTGAAACTGCCTTCATGATGTTGAGGCTGCCTTCATGATGCTGAGGCTGCCTTCATGATGTTGCGGCTGCCTTCATGATGTTGAGGCTGCCTTCATGATGCTGAAACTGCCTTCATGATGTTGAAGCTGCCTTCATGATGTTGAGGTTGCCTTCATGATGTTGAAGCTGCCTTCATGATGTTGAAGCTGCCTTCATGATGTTGAAGCTGCCTTCATGATGTTGAAGCTGCCTTCATGATGCTGAGGCTGCCTTCATGATGCTGAAACTGCCTTCATGATGTTGAGGCTGCCTTCATGATGTTGCGGCTGCCTTCATGATGTTGAGGCTGCCTTCATGATGCTGAAACTGCCTTCATGATGTTGAAGCTGCCTTCATGATGTTGAGGTTGCCTTCATGATGTTGAAGCTGCCTTCATGATGTTGAAGCTGCCTTCATGATGTTGAGGTTGCCTTCATGATGTTGAAGCTGCCTTCATGATGTTGAGGCTGCCTTCATGATGTTGAGGCTGCCTTCATAATGTTGAAGCTGCCTTCATGATGTTGAAGCTGCCTTCATGATGTTGAAGCTGCCTTCATGATGTTGAGGTTGCCTTCATGATGTTGAAGCTGCCTTCATGATGTTGAAGCTGCCTTCATGATGTTGAGGCTGCCTTCATGATGTTGAGGCTGCCTTCATGATGTTGAAGCTGCCTTCATGATGTTGAGGCTGCCTTCATGATGTTGAGGCTGCCTTCATGATGTTGAGGCTGCCTTCATGATGTTGAAGCTGCCTTCATGATGTTGAGGCTGCCTTCATGATGTTGAGGCTGCCTTCATGATGTTGAGGCTGCCTTCATGATGCTGAGGCTGCCTTCATGATTGTTGAAGCTGCCTTCATGATGTTGAGGCTGCCTTCATGAATGCTGAGGCTGCCTTCATGATGTTGAGGCTGCCTTCATGATGTTGAAGCTGCCTTCATGATGTTGAGGCTGCCTTCATGATGCTGAGGCTGCCTTCATGATGTTGAAGCTGCCTTCATGATGCTGAGGCTGCCTTCATGATGTTGAGGCTGCCTTCATGATGTTGAGGCTGCCTTCATGATGCTGAGGCTGCCTTCATGATGTTGAAGCTGCCTTCATGATGTTGAGGCTGCCTTCATGATGTTGAGGCTGCCTTCATGATGCTGAGGCTGCCTTCATGATGTTGAGGCTGCCTTCATGATGTTGAGGCTGCCTTCATGATGCTGAGGCTGCCTTCATGATGTTGAAGCTGCCTTCATGATGTTGAGGCTGCCTTCATGATGCTGAGGCTGCCTTCATGATGTTTGAAGCTGCCTCATGATGTTGAGGCTGCCTTCATGATGCTGAGGCTGCCTTCATGAGTTGAGGCTGCCTTCATGATGTTGAGGCTGCCTTCATGATGTTGAAGCGCCTTCATGATGTTGAGGCTGCCTTCATGATGCTGAGGCTGCCTTCATGATGTTGAAGCTGCCTTCATGATGTTGAGGCTGCCTTCATGATGCTGAGGCTGCCTTCATGATGTTGAGGCTGCCTTCATGATGTTGAGGCTGCCTTCATGATGTTGAGGCTGCCTTCATGATGTTGAAGCTGCCTTCATGATGTTGAGGCTGCCTTCATGATGCTGAGGCTGCCTTCATGATGTTGAAGCTGCCTTCATGATGTTGAGGCTGCCTTCATGATGTTGAAGCTGCCTTCATGATGTTGAGGCTGCCTTCATGATGCTGAGGCTGCCTTCATGATGTTGAGGCTGCCTTCATGATGTTGAGGCTGCCTTCATGATGTTGAGGCTGCCTTCATGATGTTGAGGCTGCCTTCATGATGTTGAAGCTGCCTTCATGATGTTGAGGCTGCCTTCATGATGTTGAGGCTGCCTTCATGATGTTGAGGGCTGCCTTCATGATGTTGAAGCTGCCTTCATGATGTTGAGGCTGCCTTCATGATGCTGAGGCTGCCTTCATGATGTTGAAGCTGCCTTCATGATGTTGAGGCTGCCTTCATGATGCTGAGGCTGCCTTCATGATGTTGAGGCTGCCTTCATGATGTTGAGGCTGCCTTCATGATGTTGAGGCTGCCTTCATGATGCTGAGGCTGCCTTCATGATGTTGGAAGCTGCCTTCATGATGTTGAGGGGTGCCTTCATGATGCTGAGGCTGCCTTCATGATGTTGAGGCTGCCTTCATGATGTTGAGGCTGCCTTCATGATAGTTAAGGACTCGTGATTCAAGGAATTAAAGCTACCCTTTACTTTCTCGGATCAAATTTGATTACCTCACACTTCCCATTCGCTGCATGACTCCTACGACTTTAGTGCTCCCACGAATAATAATAATAATAATAATAATAATAATAATAATAATAATAATAATAATAATAACAATAATAATCTTTAGCAGACTCAAGAGCAAATGAATACAATGACGGAGGATCGAGCTCATGTGGCTTTATCGCTTCTCATAATAAACACTAACATGTGAACATTTATTTGTCTCTAATGGAAGCAGAGGACTTGGCTGAATGTTGGCAAATGTTTACGATGTTCATAAGAGTGTAGTAGGGGGAGAGAACTTGATGTTTACTGTGAAAGAGTTAGGTACTTAACGGATCTCAGTGTACTAACCAGCATCTCTGGAACTGCTGTGACCCTTTTGTGAAGCCAGGAGCTGCTATGACCCTTCTGTCAAGCCGGGAACTGCTGTGACCCTGCCGCCAAGCCGCAATCTGCACGGCAATTGACGCTGCTCACTGCAGTCTCCCTCACATCTCTTGGATCATTACCAGGAATCCTGAGATGCGTCTCACCGCAGCATCCAGAGACAAGATGGTGCTGCAGAGAAGGCTGCAGGGGTAAGGGGCGCAGAGAGTGCT